TACAGGAATTGATCGAGATGGGGCCCCATCTACTCGGTTCGCTTGCTGAGAAAACAACGAAGCCACGATACCACACACGGGTGGAATCCCAACGTGGGTAATTTCGACAGCAGACCTTCGTGTCGAACGCCTTTGAGATGTGACGTGTCCGCCAGTAAGTCACCCGTAGATTGACGAGGGCGAAATCCATACCGACGGTCATTCACATACCTTCGCGCTCGATAAACGTACGTAGTTGGTCGGAGATAATGGTTTCAAACACTTTCGAGATTACAGATTTAAGAGTAATGGGACGGTAGTTGTTGGGGCCGTCGCGCTTTGGGATTGGAAAAATAATGGCATTTTTCCATGGAGTAGGGAAAGATTCAAGTTCGAGAGAATAACAGAAAAGGCGGCGTAGAACAAAAGCTAACTCCCGGGCACACACTTTTAGGACGACATGTGGAATACCGTCCCGACCAAGCAATACGATCAGGGATGCCTGTGAGAAGGTCAACTAGTTAACTTAAGTTGTTGACCATAGCAAAAGCCTCGGCTTCGCGTCCTATGATGGTAGTGTCTGAGGAGTGCTTCAGTCATTCCTTGTTGTGGGCATTGAAATCTCCGACAACGGTATTTGGCTGTTAGAATATGCTGACATCAGTGTCTCAATGTTGGAAGACAGAATATCAAAAATAGAATAATCGTTGCTGTTCGGGGAGCGGTAACCGATACAAAAATAGTGGTTTGAAGAAGGGAATCGATGTTTTAGCCATATAAGCTAAAATTCACGGTTTAGAGAAGTATACGTGTGAAAGTCGAGAAGAAGCGACAGAATGATGGATATAGGCGCAGGCACCAGCTTTAGAAAGNAATTCACGGTTAGAGAAGTTCAAGTGTGAAAGTCTGGAAGAAGTGACAGAATGATGAATATAGGCGCAAACACCAGCTTCAAGAAAGAAAAGAAGAATGAAGTAATTAGGGAACTGAAGATGAGTAGTGTCTGACGAGGTGGAGATTTGTGTCTCCCTCAAAAATAAAGCCAAGGGGGAAGATTGTAGAAAGTGGTGGACAGAATTACCGTTTCAATTTAAACTACGAA